TATACATATATGTATGTGCTCATGCTGTCCAACCAAAACCCATCAGAAATATACCTTTAATTTGACAGGTTGAGTTTTTTTTAAAAACTCCTTGCATTTAAGGACAAGGTATTGGGAGTTGTGGACATTGAATAAAAGTGTAAAAGTACTTTAGGATTTGAGTTTTATTAAGTAGTTTAAGGACTTAAGGAAGCCAAGCTTTGCTGTCGATTGAATGCTGTCAGGAAGCCATGGTAATTCTATGGGTATCTTAGTAAGTCTTAGCTGGAGAGTGAGTAGATGAGACTGAGACCATAGTTACTGAGAGGCAGTCTCTCGTTTAGCTAGGGTGACAGGTGTAATTTTTTTTTTTTAATGGCTTGGGCCACTTCTTTTTTTCTTTGTCTTTTTTCAGACATAGTGACAGAATGTACTTGTCTGATGTTGAAAATTTGTGAAATTGATGACTTTCAATAGGGCCTATCTAAGAATGTCAGCTTACTTCTTAGCAATCCCAAGCCCTTGCTGGTAGGACACAATGAGCTTTTAGAAGCCAGGGAGTTCCTGGATGTCTTTTTCTTTTTTTAAACCAACTAAAACCAAATTAGATCTCATACAGAAACATTGTTGGTCTCCCATTAAAAAAAGTTGTCACTGGTGCCCCATGAGCACACCAGATTGTTAAGCAAGTCTTCAGTACAGGATATTCAGTCTGCCTAGATTGTGCAATTGTTTTTCTGCTTTACTATTAATACTTTGTGTTGCGGTTCCTCTTGTTTCCAGAACACTAGATTATCAGCTCCTTAAAGCAGTATTTTATTGTGTCTTACACATCTGTCCTTCCTCTCAGTTCTAACATAACATCTGCAATATACAGTAGTTGGCTGGCAATTGTACTAAATTTCAAATAGTGTTGATTTCTTTACTGTTTCATATTGACTTAATATGTTTTGTTTTTAACTCATTTGAATTCTCAGTCTAACCTATTTTCATAGTATTTTTATTACAAGTAACCACAAATAAGCTTTTCCTTGAGAATGAAGAGGATGATTGACTAAATTGAATATTGGTACATAAACAGCCTTCTATTTAATAAAGGTGCATGTATCCATAGTTAGAGCTGAAACTTTCTGTTTAGGCAGAGAGTTATTTTCCTATGCAGTGGAAATTCACAGTGGTCATTTTTCTCAGATGATAAGAAATAGCAGCATTGTAGAAATAATAGCGTTGTACAGAAGGATTGGGTGGTGTGCAATTTTGTCAAGCTCTCTGTGAGCTATACAGAAAATACTAGGTTAACCAAAGGAATTAGGTTGTTGATGTTTTGTATGATTTTCACGACAAGATAAACATCTCACAAAAGCAGTTGGAAAGCACAGTATGTTTTCTACTTTTTTAAAGAATTGTTTTTATGTGTATGAGTATATTGCATGAGTGTATTGCCTGTGTGTGTAAGTATACTTGTGTCCTGCAGTGCATGTGGAGGTCAGAAGAGAGCATTGGATTCTCCTGAAACTGGAGTTACAGGTGGTTGTTAGCCACCATGTGGGTGCTGGGAATTGAACATGGATCCTCTGCAGGAGCAGCTGGTGCTCTTAACCTCTGAGCCATCTCTCCTGCCCTGTTTTCTACTTTTTAATCAGTTCTTCATGCAGTTTGGGTTTATTTGGAATACCATAAGCATATATGCATATCCTTAGGAAATATAAGTTCATTATTTTTCTCTTCTTTTCCTATAGAGCAAATGTTTGGCTGCATTTATCATGTATACAGAGTAATTATATACTGGCAAATTCAAAGAAAGTAATTTATAAAGTTTCGTGGGTCTAAAAAGTAATGCTCTAGGAATTAGTTGTATATATATATATATATCTACTAGTTGAATATGAACATACAGAATATCTTTGTGATAGAATTCTCTGACTTGCATTAAAAATTATCTTGGGAATTTATGAATTGTATTTGTGACCATTTAGTAGATAACGAACCTTAAAATTCTTTTACAGGACACCGAGTTTCCAGGTGTGGTTGCAAGGCCCATTGGAGAATTTAGAAGCAATGCTGACTATCAATACCAACTATTGCGGTGTAATGTAGACTTGTTAAAGATAATTCAGCTAGGACTGACATTTATGAATGAGCAAGGAGAATACCCTCCAGGAACTTCAACTTGGCAGTTTAATTTTAAATTTAATTTGACGTAAGTAGGAAATAAATATATCTCATAAACTTTTCATTTTAATCTTAGGAATTGATTTTCCTTGTATAGTAAAATGCTAGGTGAATTTACCTGTAGTTATCTTAGAAATTTGTTAAATATAAAATTTCAAGAGCTTAGGCTTAAGAGATGAAAAGAATTGAGATCATAAAGACTTTTACTTTTAAAGAATTTAATTTTAGAGATGTTATTTCCAAAGTATGACTGCCACTTTTATGGAAAGTAGAACACTTTTACGTTTGTTTGTTTGTTTGTTCTGTCAATGTTTAATTAAGGTGCTGGAGATTAAGTCCAGGGTTTCATACATGCTAGGCCAATGTTTTATCATGAGCTACATCTCTGCCCCAAAACTTTAGGTATGGAAAATATATCTTCATAGAAAAAATAATCTTACTTTCACCTTCTTTTTTTCTCAGCATACATACTTTTTTTAATTTTTATTTTTTTGAGACAGAGTCTCACTAAGAAACTCTGACTGACTTAGAACTTGCTATGTAGACCAGGCTGGCCTGGAACTCAGAGATCCACCTGTCTCTGCCTCCCAAGTGCTGGGATTAAGGATGTGTGCCACCAAGCCCTGCACTTTCACATTTTTTACAATTTTATTATTTTTATTTTATGTATGTGAGAGTATTGCCTGCATGTATGGAAGTGTACCCACGTCATGCAATGCCTGTGGAGATCAGAGGAGGGCATCAGATTCCCCTGGAACCGGAGTTATAAACAGTTGTTAGCCATCATGTGGGTGCTGGGAATCAAACCCACTTCTTCTGCAAGAGCCATCTCTACAATCCCCACTTTCTCATTTTTGTGCACAGTATGAAATACATGCAGTTGAGGTGGGGCTTACGCTGGGCAGCAGGTTACCACTGTGCTCCAACCCCAGTCCACTATGTGCTTGCTTATTATATCACTCATCCTTCTTATGAAGAGAGTGTTATTTCATTCATACTTTGCTGTATAAGATTACTTGTCAGATACAGTAAGTTGTTTCATAGAAAGTTGGGTATATATATTCTCTTTTCAAATCAGTATTCTTCACTGACTGTTCCCATGTCAACCCACAGAACCTCTTAATTTACATACAGAAAAAGTGATGGTGTTGTTAAACCTTTGCTATATTAGAATCTCATGTCTAAGTCAAACCTTGGGGCTAAACTCAGTTCCCAAGTTAAAATGTTTCTACATTGTTTCCTGAGTCTTGATACCTTAAGGTACATCTGACCTTTTGACATTATGGCACAATGTTGTCATCTACAAAGTTCATGCTCAAGAACTACACAGTAGAGCTGCAAAACATACCAAAAAATCCAAAACAAATATCATAGTGTTTTAAGTTTATGATTTTGTGTTCGTGACTGTCCTGGGGCTCATGGGACTTGTGAGCTATAGATTGGACATGCCTGGTAGGGACAGGGGCAGATTATTATTGTTAAGGTGAGAAAATAAAATGTGTAGTATATTCTGAAGTATGTTATAATACTGTAATGCCTTTCGGTTTGATAGCATGCATTGATTTTTTTTATTACTATTTTATGTGTATGAGCCTGCATGTATGTAAGTATACCTGTGTTGTGCAGTGCCCACAGGAGCCAGCAGAGGGTATTAGATCCCCTGGAATTAGAATTACAGACTGTTGTTAGCCACTATGTGGGTGCTGAGATCAGAACTCAGGTCCTCTGTAAGAACAGCCAGTGATCTTAGCTGGTGAGCCATCTGTCCAGCCCCTACAGCCTGTATTTGTATAATATGATCAAACATCCTACATTAGTGTATCAATTGGTAAACATCCTTTGCTAGATGAATCCTAGTTTTAGTAGCAATGGCTTTCTTAGAAGTTTCTGAGCAGCATTTTTTTCTTATTCAGACGAAACTCTAGTTTTTCTACCCAATTTTACTACCATTCATACTAATGTTAGTGTCTTAGGAAATGAGTGAAGAGAAGACTATAGGGGTTAGTGAGATGGCTCAGTGCATGAAGGTGCCTGCTGCCTAACTTGGCAACATGAGTTCAATCCCTGGTACCCACATGATACAAGGAGAGAATCAACTCCTCAAGTTGATTTCTAACTTTTCCATTTTTGTTGTACTCATGTGCATGTACACACACACACACACACACACACACACACACACACACGAAAAATGTAATTAAAATACTCTTAAAAGAGAAAGGAATATAGTGAAAAATAGAATCAGAAAAAGTGAATTGGAAGATAAAACCAGTACTGCCTAATGTGCAGAATATCTTTTTCTTTTGGCGGGGAACTCACTATGTGGAACAGGCTGGCCTCAATCTCACAGAGATCTGCTTCCTTGTGCCACAACACCTGGATAAATATGGAGAGTATCTTGATAGCATCTTGGATATGTTGAAGAATGAAGAAGATTGACTTTCTTATTGAATGCCTAGAATGAATGTGTCCTTGTGCACTGGGCTCTATGGGTACAGTGTTGAGGAAGGTTGCTCACGGTCATTCAGACTTGATGTTTCCATCACTCTTCTGCCTCTTCCTTGTTTGGGAGCTTTGTATGTCCAGTCCTTGCTTGGCCCAAGTCAGGATTTCTTCTAGTTTTGCTAGCATTATTCTAAATTTTACCATTAACATCAAGGAAGTAACTGCAGATCATTATTTATATAGAGATTTGGAAATATACAGATATATGAAAAAGTGTTTATGCTTATAATGTATATTTTATTTCAAAATAGCAAGCATATAAAAATTATAGTCAAAATAGCATTAATTTCAAGTTCTAGTTGTAAGTGATATTTAACATTCTCTTATTTTTGAAGGTGTGACTGTAATATCTAAATCAAGAGTGTGTTAAAATGAACCATTTAGGAAGAAATAAAGGTCTTTACATAGGAAAGGATTTCTTTTGTTTTGCAGTGTAATTACTATACTTTTGTGGGCTTGAAAGCAAACATAATTTTTTAATGTTTGTTTTAAAGCTAGGACAGTTTTGTTCCTTTCTATAATGCTTGGTGATCTGCTAACAGTAAGGAGCCTGCACAAACTTAGCTAAGAAGCACAGTGGCACTCCAGTGCTCTAAGGTAGTTAGGTTCAGTGTTCTGAAGCAAACTGAGGTTATGGCCACCACTGTAACATACAGACTAAAAACTCTTAATACTGTTCTCACATTCTCTTTTCCCTTTGTATTACCTGATTGAGTATTAAAGGTTGTTGATGGGGTAAACGCTTTTATCTTTGAAAAAATTTTATCTTTGTTTTTTATATGCACGAATATTTTGTATGTAAGTGCACCTATTTCATGTAGTGTGCATGTTGGCCAGATGAGGGTGTCTGATCCTCTGAAACTGGAGTTACAGATGGTTGTTAGCTGCCACATGGGTGCTGGGAACCAAATTGAAGTCTTCTGTGAGAATAGCCAGTGCTCTTAACTGCTGAACCATTTCTCCAGCCCAGCAACAACTTGAGATTGTGACACTTTTTGTCTTTTTGCTTTTTCTGTTTATAAAAGTAATATGTTTCTTATTTATTTATTTTGGTCTTTTTTTGAGACAGGGTCTCCCTGTAGCCCCAGCTGTCCTGGAACTCACTATGTAGACTAGGCTGGCCTTGAACTCACAGAGATCCACCTGTGTGCTGAGATTAAAGGTGTGCACCACCATGCTCGGCACTAATAACATGTTTCTTAAAAAGTACAGAAAAGTAGAAACAGCTGTTACCAGTTTTCGAGCATTTCCTGTTGGTTGTTTTGCAACTATTTTAATTTGCCTGTGGTACATATTAAGACTATATCATTTATATGTTATATTGTTATTAGTAGTTCTTAGTAATCATTTACTCTAAACTTTTCCTTAATATTATAGTTTAACCATTTACTGTGGTTGGATATTTAGGTTATCCTTGGGGTTGTTCTTTAGTGAGACACTCTTGATGGTTCCTGACTTAAAATGATTCAACTTATCCTATTTTGACTTTATAATAGTATCGAAACTATGTATTCAACAGAAACTGACCATCAGATTTTGAAGTTTGATCTTTTCCTGGCTAGAAATGAATACTGTTATACATGGTTGTATAGCATCAGCAAGCACTGTCTCCCTGTCAGCCACTGCCTCATGGCTGTTTTACAGAGTACTTTGCTCCCAAATTATGATGCTTGGTTTATTAGGTAGTTTAAGTATATTTTCACCTTATATTATTATATTTTTCTAACTCTGCTGAGTTTATCAGGACATAACCTCATCATCAATCAAGGAGCATCTATATATCTTTAGATTTGTTTCCTTATTGTTCATACCTTTGCAGATTTTAGAGGCATGTATGTATTATCAATTTATTGAAGTATTAAATTCTCAGGGTAGCTAACCATATGTATATTTATGGCTGTTTGCATTCCAGTTTATTTTTATTTTAACTTCATAATTTTAGCATAAATTTAAATATACTGGCGTTTATATTTTTATGAAAGCCACTTTTACTTATAAAGGAAAGTATGTGTATGAAAGTAAGTGACAGGAGGGGTACTGTGTCAACTCTTTGGGTATCTGTGAGTTGATTGAGGAGTAGTTTAATGTTGAAGAAAACCCATGTGTTTGGAAATGTGAGTTTTGGTAGTAGGGTATGTTTAAAATGATAATTTCAGTACATTTACATAGTTGAGTTAGTAGATAGTAGATCTTTAGGATATTATCTGAGAATAGCCAAAAGGCAGTGGTGTCTATAGAGATTCATACATGGTTTTCACTCATTCTCAGTGTTATACCAGGTATTTCGCTACTTTAAATGTTGACTAATTGATTCATCTTTAACACCATTTATAATCATTTTGAACAATGAATCTTACAGTCAGTAAGCCAACACCAGCAGCAATTCTTATACGGTGTTTTAGTAATTTTTAAGGTTAGTTTATTTTAATATTTCCCCTTTATTGCTGGGATATTTGAGGGTAGAGAAGGCAGAGTGCAAAGATTTAAAAACTTGCTACTATCAGAAAAGGGTAGAGCACCGTGTTGGAGAAATGACTTGTAACAGTTAGGAACCTTTCCTTACTGCATTCTTACCTGCATAGTCATGAGTTGGTTATTATAAAACATGAGATTTGTACCAATTTATAAAGTATCTGTTTCCAAAAAGTTTAGATGCAAGTACGTAGAATTAAATGAATTAAGCTATGTGAACTATGCAGGAAAAAAGAGAAAGCAACTGTGCATATATCTTTGTTTGCCAAACTTACTTTATTATAAAATACCCGAGGTGCTCCTCCAGGTCTCTCACCTGGAAATTGTGATTCAATAGGTCTGGGACTTCAATGGGACCTGGGAATCCATATTTTTGGTAAGTTCTCCTGGTGATTGTTATCATTGGGCAAGTTTGGGAAATAATGACTTAAACAGTACAAAACTCACTATTCTACTTAACTGATACATTATTTAATTGGATAATAGTGATATAATGTTGAGCAAACTAAAATAAATAGAGGATATGGCCAGGAGTAATGTGCGTCTGGAGAAGAATCTGTTGGAGTTTTGGTTGCTTTCATTTGCACTCAGTTTATTCTATCTTTTGTAAAAATTTTTATAGGAAATATTGACTTAAAGTGACTGTTGTGGCTCTTTTCTGGGTTTTAAATGTTTCAGTTGTTAGCTTTGTTATTTGTTCCTGGTGCCCAGGATCTAAAAGTGAGCTTTGAAATTATATTAGAAAGAAATTGATTTCCAGAGAATAAACCATAAAAATACTTTTGGTCAAAATCAAACATTTCTTTTGGCTTAGTTTTATTAAAGTCTTTTAATAGAAATTTATTTTGGTAATGGTTTAAACCAGTGTTCTTTAAAGAGGTGACTGACTAAATGGTAAATCCACAAAGTATTTTTTCATGAATTCTCAACCTTTTAATGTAATATTTTGGATGTATAACTGTTGTGCTTGGAAATTAGAGATGGCTTCCTTTCCATCTTGAAAGTGAAGTCTTGAAAGGCTGGTGATTTCCTTGCTTGGTTTTGGAAGGCAGTCTTTAGAATTGTGATTGCTGGAAGGAGAAATTGCTGTCATAACTGAGTTCTTAATTTTAAATAGTTCTGTGATTATTAGAGCCAGTTGAAAGGCTAGTCATTGTGAAAGGAGGCAGCTCCTTTTTCTTTAAGATGGAATGTAGTTTTAACTCAGTCACTCAAGATTTGGCTGGTTGTTCTGAGAACATGAGAGGTGTGCATAGCTTCTTATCACTGTGGCTCCATTTGGCAGCATTAAAATGCTCCAGAGCCCAAGAGCCCCTGAAAAGAACAAGTCTGTGGTAGCCTCTGGTGAGTAAAAGACCCTTTTTAAGCCTGGTGAAATGATGTAATGTGTAGAAGGCCAATGAAATTGAGCTGAGAGTAAGGGCCATTGGACTGTTTCAAGTGATTATTTTAACAGTTTCCTGAAGTAATGACCCTTGTATTTAAATTGTATTTTCCTTGATAGTTGTAAATCATTTGAGCAGTTGGACTGAAACCAGTTTTCTGTCTTGTTTCTGGTACTGTAGTTGTAGATGTTAAGTGGGAGAAAAACTGTTTTAAGTAGTGGCATTTTTGAACATTATCTTTCTCTTTCTCCTGCCAGGGAAGACATGTATGCTCAAGACTCTATAGAGCTACTGACAACATCTGGTATCCAGTTTAAGAAACACGAGGAAGAAGGAATTGAGACCCAGTACTTTGCAGAACTTCTTATGACTTCAGGAGTGGTCCTTTGTGAAGGGGTCAAATGGCTGTCGTTTCATAGGTAAAAAGATTGTGTTTGAGCTTCCATCCTGTATCTGCCTTACCCTTCCTTGGGTCATAATATTAGAAATTTCAGACTAAGTTCTAGAACAAACTTACTACTAGGTAGCTGTCTTCTACCTCTTATGAAGCTAATGTTGTCTAATTTACCTTTAATAGGGGATCTATTTTAGCCTGTGAGAGGTAGTGTTCCTTTGGTGGAAACAGTACAAACTAGAAAAATAGACCTTTGTTGAAATCTGGCAGTCATTAAGGATCTGTGTCTCTTAGGGCTCTTTACCATTTCTGATCCTTAGTTTTTATGTTTATAAAGAAGCCATTTTTTTTTAATTGCTTGAGTACCTTCCTTATTTTAGCCACTGCGCTAAGATTCTAAAACTGAACAAAACAGAATAAAATTCTCCTCCCCATGTAATTTACATTCTTCTGAGGATAGACCAACAATTTTCAGTAGCCTAATTTCTAGTGTTGTTTGTTAAACAATAATAAATTCTATGAAGAAAAATTGAAGAACAAAGAGAATGTTATGGGTAGATATTTAGGTAATTTTTTTAATAGAATGATTGAGAAAGCTACCCTTAGAAGAAACATCTTGCAGATTTTTCTCAATGGTCAGTAACAACCATTTAAACATCTAGTAAAGTATTTTGCAGTGTGTGTGTGGTGACTTAATTCTTTATTATTATAAAATAAAACGATCATTGAAGAGGATTTCAGCAAAGGAAATTAATTCTGTTTTATAAATGTAGACTTAAATGTGGGAGAAAATGTTCTGTGTGAGTAAAGTAAATTGGCGTTCCATGACCTGAAAGTAACCTTTGAAATTGTTACTTGTTATTTATGTCTTTGTTGCAGGCTTTTGCTCTGTATCTTAGGCTATATTATGTTTTTTTAAAAATACTGTGTTACTCAGGTCTTGATGCTCTTACTCTTGATTCCCTTCACATATTAAAAAATATTTTTCTTTTATTTATCTTTATATTATATGTATGAGTATTTTGCCTGTATGTATATTACATGCATCTGTGTCAGGTTGTGCCTACAGCTACCAGAAGAGGGTGTCAGATTCCCTGGAACTGGAGTTTTAGCCACCATGTGGGTGCTGGGAACCAAACCCAACTCCTCTGCAAGAGCAGCCAGTGTTCTTTACCACTGAGCCATCTCTTCAGCTCTCCACATTTCTTTTAAATATGAGTCTTCTACATGGAATGATTAAGGTGATGGATGATTCCTATTGCAATCTTTGATGTAATGATACAGAGAGCTTGAGTTGTAAATACTGAACATAGGCATTCTCTCATGAACTTTCCTGTTTCTTTTCATAAAAACAAACAACTAGAGGGCATAGTTCTGTTCTTTTAGTGTATATGACACATACTTTCACTCAAAAGAAATATTTTGAACAAGTACTGTTGGCTGAGGGTAGTGAGATGAACAAACCAGAGTGTTCATGTTTTCTTTAAGTTTTTATGGTCTACAGTAGCCTATAGTATATTCATTTACCAACCTATAATACTTATATTATTAAATGTCATCACTATTTTCTTTATTTCTATTTTATTAAAGAGTAATTTTTTGAAGTTATAAATCCTAAACTATAATACAATCTTACTTCACTGGTAGTAAGCAAAAGTCATAGTGACTATTCTATATAGCTGGCTGGTTACTTCCTTGCTAACTAATAATAAATTTATGTTTCTACCCTTGAGTACTTGTGCTGTAGATCATCAGTGGTAAAGCTCCTCCTCTTTCAAATTAGAAGTAAAATGGTAAACATATAAAAATTTTATTTTAGGGCCAGGCATGGTAGTGCATGCCTTTAATCAGGAGGCAGAGACTGGTGGATCTCTGTGAAATTGAGGTGAGCCTGGTCTGCATGGTGAGGCCTACTGGGGCTATAAAATGACCACACACCCCACGTCCCCCTGTAAAAATAAAAAATCAATTATTTTGTTTCTCTTCCAAAAGATAAGTTCAATGATTTCTCTTGTCAAATATGAGTTCAAGCTGTATATAACGGAAAGATACTTTAAAACTATGATTCCTGTCCTTCAGTGAAGAAAACCCATGTGCTTCAAGTTTAGACGCAAGTAGCTTCTGCTTTATAAGAGCTCTTTGTGAGCTGAGTCCTTCAAAAAGGCTTGCTGTCAAAGACAGTCAAAAGAAAGGTGTGTGTGAATTCAGGAGTGGAGGGAGTTAGGCAGCTGTGGAAAAGGCTAGAGATAGGGATATGCGATCTCAGTCTGAGGCAGTGGGAGTTTGTATTCCATCATGTAAGATGAAATAGTTCTCAACTGTTTCTATATTCACGTTTTTCATCTGCAACCCATCCACTGATAATGTCTCTTGGAGATTTATATTGAGATAGGAACAAAATTTGAAGAAATGTACATACTAATGAAGTCACTTTGGGAAAATGAAATACTCCATTAGAGGTTCTTTGGACTTAGTCTTGGGAAGTAGGTTACCATCTCATGTAAATGGTGAGAAGGTTTTGCATGATTTTGGCCTTTGGAATACCATGTTGTTCTGGCTTGTAAGATTTTTGGCCAGCTTCCCATGGATATGTTTCTTTGCTGTTTGCCTTTTTTGTTGTTGCTCTCTTTTTTGTCTGTAGTATGACTTCTTAAAAAATTTACATCTGAGAAACATTTCTTTCATTCTATGGCACTTACATGGTGTGCCTTTAATCTTTTTATTAGTGGTTATGACTTTGGCTATTTAATCAAAATCCTGACCAACTCTAACTTGCCTGAAGAAGAACTTGACTTCTTTGAGATCCTTCGATTATTTTTTCCTGTCATTTACGATGTGAAGTACCTCATGAAGAGCTGCAAAAATCTCAAGGTAAGACTTGCAGTGGCTTTATTTGCAACCAGCACATTTTTTTAGAGAAGTAACTTTAACTTGCATATCATACTAGGCCTGGATTAGTTAGTATTTTAAAATTTTGTATCACATTCATTTATATTACCTGATCATTTGAGACTTATAGAAGTAGTAATTTATAGGTAATCGCTCTTTAAAACTTCAGTATATCTTGGCAGAATGTGTTTTTTTTAAGTACTATTATGTATCTATGTATTTGTGAGCTTTAGTATTATCATTTGTGTGTGTGTGTGTGTGTCATGTGCACCGTGTACATTAACAAATCTGGTAAAGTCAGAAGAGGGTGTCTGATTCTCCTGGAGCTGGAGTTATAGATGTTTGTAAGAGGCCACATGCGTGTTGGAAACCAAACCTAAATCCTCTGTAAGAGCAATAAGTGCTCTTCACCTCTGAGCCATCTCCCAGCCCCTAGAATAAGATTTTAACAAAAGTCAATTTAAGGGCCAGACTTTTTTTTGTTATTGCTGCCAGATTGAAAATCATGGACCAAAACAAACATGTGAGGACTAATGGGGCTCTCATGTGCACAGAAGCACAGGTTCTCAGTCTGCCAGCATGCATACTATCTGTCATACAAGATAAAAATTTTGAGTTGGCCAGGAGAGGACAGAGATCTTCATTAGTGTGGTAAGAACAGTTGTTTCCTTCAGATTATCTACATGAAAGATTTTTTTTTCCCCTTCATTCTTGTTGAAGGATAATGTTATTGAATGTCATAACTAGGACTACCTATTTACTTGAAGTAATTACTCTAGTAATTGTATAAAGTCTACTTAGACAGTAGCTCTTCTGACACTACTTAACATACGTAAGCACTATTTTAAATTTCTGAACAGTAATTCTATCAAAACAAATGTTTCCTGGTTAAAGAAAAGTGCTCTTTAAGAGTAAATTTATGTGTGTTGGCCTAGATCCTTGGCAATACAGTAGTTTTTTTGTTTGTTTGTTTTTTTGGTGTATATATTTAAGCTGTAACAGAGGAAACGTAAATGTATTCAGGTACTATGGTTGCTTTATAGCCAGAATTGTTACTTCAGTAAAAGCAAGATTGGTCAAGTTCTCCCCTTGCCAATCTTCAGAAAAGAACAAATAAAGTCTCCCTTTTAGGAGATGGTAAGGACTTTAAGAGTTTTACTTCAGCAGAAGCAATATGGGAATTGAGTATGGAAATTTTTATTTTTTAAAAAATGAACTGAGGGGCTGGAGAGATGGCTCAGCAGTTAAGAACACTGGTTGTTCTTGCAGAAGACCTGGGTTTGAATCCCAGCAACCACATGGCAGCTAACAACTGTCTGTAACTCCAGTCCCAGGGGATCCAATAGCCTCTTCTGACCAATGCAGGCATTGCATGATACAGGTACACTTACATGCAGGCAATACACACATACACATAAAATAAAAATAAATAAAATTTTTTAAAAAAACAAATTGTAGGACAGTTTGTCTCTAAGGTAGGTATGCTGCCTATGCAACTAGGGAAAGTTTTAAGGAAGATTACTCATGCCTGTGTCAGCTGAAAGTAACAGGATTCTGTGTAATTTGAGGAGTCTCAATAGTGAATTTATAGCAGCATATCCTGCCTACCCCACAAATGTACAGCATGTTGAGAACTTACAGCTGTCTTGTTTTAATCCAGCTCTAGAAATGGCACAATGATAGTTTTCAGGAACAGAGTATGAAATATTGGCTCAGTATGTGTATGCCATCGAGAAATGTCTGAAAATGTGTTGTGTGGCTGCTTATGTTAAAAGTTTAGGCTAGTGACAAGGGTGCTTTGTGACCTACAGTCAGCCAGACCATTCTTTTCTGTTCTTCTCTACTGCTGTGAGCAACTGCTAATGATACCTAGCATTCAAAATATTTTTAGTACAGAGGCGACTGCACTGCAGAGCACTGTACCAGCCTCTGTTGAACGGCTGGTTTGATCACAAAAAAGTTTCATACTGGGGCTGGAGAGATGACTCAGTTGCTAAGAGTACTGGCTGCTTTTGCAAAGGACCCAGGTTCAAATTCCAGCACCCACATGGCAGCTAACAGTTGTCTGTAACTCCAGTTCCAAGGGATCTGACGCCCTCTTCTGTCCTTGGGCACTGCATGACATGGGTGCACTTACACGCATGCGTGCATAACACTCACATACATAAAAATAAATCAAAAATATTTCATACTTATAAAATTGTTTTCTTAACAGACAAAACTAAAGCAAAGCATATAGTGAATTGACAGTGATTTGATTACTTACAACATCTTTTTGTTAAACTTAAAATGATTTTAAAACTTTAGAGATGGATTGGTGGAAAATGTAAAAGAAACTGCCTCCATCTCCTGAGTTGTTTAATGACCGCTAGATCAATATACTGAATGTAGTTGCTGTTTGTTCCCTGAATATGATTACTTCTTCCATATCTTTAGGCAAATTCTTTGCCTGTTGTATTCCTTAAAATAAATAATCAAGATAAATTTTTTCAATTAGATTTCATTTTATAATAAATTATAGGCTTACTCTTAGCAAATAAATTAGGAAGTCATATTTTCTTAGCGCCCTTCACTCTCTTCATAAGGTTTGTCTTTACAAAAAGAAGTTCATCCATATTTTAATCAATGTCTTTAAGTTTGTGATTTGTGAATTCATGTAAGTACCCTGTGGCTAACCAGGTGTGCTACTAGATCTCCATGATGTGTGAATTCGGATACCAACGTATGTTTTTCTCTGACAAGCAATTTTTTTCTCCTAGGGTGGATTACAGGAAGTTGCTGAACAGTTGGAGCTGGAAAGGATAGGACCCCAACATCAAGCAGGATCTGATTCGTTGCTTACTGGAATGGCCTTTTTCAAAATGAGAGAAGTATGAAGACATCAGTGCCTTTTTCTTGGTTGCTAGGTAGAGGGCGTTAGAAATCTGATGACTAAAGTTTGGGGCCATAAGAACCTACTAAGTGAGGACATAATTAAAGATGCTATGTGTTACATCTACCACACTTGAATCAAAGTGTTCAGTAACTCCTCCTGAAATGTAATTCAGAAGGAAATGAAGGAATAAGTTCTTTGTAATAAAAGTTTAAGCTATTGTTAATGGAAGAGTAAGTTCTTTGTAGAGTATCAAAAAAATGATACTGTTGTGGAAATCATGCACCTCAAAGCCTGTTATTTCTCAGGTGAATAAGCAGACCAGAGACTGGTAACTTACCTAAGATCAAACAGTATTAGTGGAGAACTCTAGAGGTCTTAGACTCCATCAGTGCTCCTTCTTCCAAGTCGGGAAGTTTGTAGGTTAGATTTTTCTTGGTGTGACCTTCTCTTAGACTTTAAAGTGGTGGCGAAAAATGTGTTTGCTCATGTTATTGTTTATTTTATAGATTTTATAAAATAGAACTTACACTTAAAATTTTTTAAATTTATTTTTATGTTTCAATGTTTTGCCTGCATGTATGTAAGTGCACAGTGTGCATGAAATGTCCCCAGAGGCCAGAAGAGGGCATTAGATCTCTTGGAACTAGAATTTTGGATGGTCGTTAGCTGCCATATGGGTGCTAGGAACCGAACCCTGGTCCTCTGACAGAGTAGCCAGTGCTCTTACTTTGTTTTGTCTTTGAGACAAGGTCCCCTATAGCCCCAGCCGCTGTGGAACTCACCATGTAGACTAGGCTGACCTCGATCTCACAGTGATCTGCCTACTTCTACCTCCTGAATGCAGGGATTAAGGCATGTGCCACCAAGCCCAGCGCCGATCAGTGCTCTTCACCACTGAGCCATCTCTCCAGCCCCTGAGAACTTACACTTTTTATCGTATTAAGGCTTAAAAGGGGTTTTGAATTCTAATGAGTTTCAATCTGAAGTTGTAGTTGAATCAAAACTACTGGGAAGTCCCTTTGTGACAAAAGGCAGGTAAAAATACCAAATAAAAAGTTGTTAGGAGTGGAAGAATGAAGTTTACTGACACTGATCTATTCTAAGTTTGGATAATTAGGTAATAGGCATAAGTCTACTTCATTTGGGATAATGCTAAAAGGAAATAGGTTGTGCAAAACCATAATAGGATGGACTGTTTTTTTGCCTACAATAACATTGTTCCTTTTGCAAAATATGTGCTCTGGATTTTGAGTATGTTCTCTTGGTGGAAGAGTGCTGATGATAGAAAAGCATTGGATTTGTTTGCCAGGTAGTATTGGCTCAGAAGTGATTTGCCTGACAAGTGAATACTTTTGTTTCATACTCCTTCCTAAGGCTTCATTATAGAATTAGAAGCCCCTTTTGGTTTTCATCTTTGCATCTTAACTATGCCCTAGTGGTTTAGTCAGTTTCAGGCACTAATCTGTTACCTTTATCCTGGCTTCTTTGAGGACAGTAATGTCATGAGAATGTTCAGGTGTTGACTTTAACATTTTTAGGGTTTTGTTCTGATCAACTCAGCCTTGTACATAGATTTAAGGCAACGTAAAATGGCACCACTCTCCCAGCCCCAACCCCATCATCTCTCTCACTCTGTTGAGTATTGTTATATTAATGGACTGAGAATATCTGCTTTCAATGCTCATAAATTATAAAAATACTGTAAATGTTAATGAGAAAGACGTATTTGTACTTTAAAGAAAGTGTCCTTTGATAGCTGCAGTTTAGGGTCCTCAGTCTTGTTATATATACAGTGTCTAGCATCAAAAGGAACATCATTAGCATAGCTAATGAACAGTCATTACTGTTGCTGAAATGTAAATTGCAAGTGGTACTTTGTGGTTAAAATGATCTCTTTTTTTCCCTTTCAAAATTCCTTTTTAGATGTTCTTTGAAGATCATATTGATGATGCCAAATACTGTGGTCATTTATATGGCCTTGGTTCTGGTTCATCCTATGTACAGAATGGCACAGGGAATGCATATGAAGAGGAAGCCAACAAGCAGTCATGACATGAAATAGTCATTTTATTTTATATGAGTTACATACATGCTTGTATATAGGTTTTATCTCTGGTTGAATTCCTTAAATGATAGACAATACCTTTTCTCTCCCCTTTTGTAGCCCATTATTTTCTGTCTTTTAGTACTAAGTATGACCTTTCCTATCTCTGATCTTAATAAATAAAAGTACATTCAGGTTAAATCTGGCCTTAATTTAATATACTTGTTCTCAAGCATGTGTGACAAAGTTACATCATACTAAATAATTTGATAAACTTTGCCCACTTGAGCTTGGTTTTGTTTTTCCCTTTTTTTAAATTAACTAGCATTGACTGTAATTTATTTCCCTGTCTCGTGTCTCTCCCTTCCATTCTGCAGTACTTCTAGGTATTTGAGCTTGTGGACCATCAATTTTGCACTTTAGAGTGATTCTAATCTATTTTATCAGAAACTGTGGTTTTTCTTGCTCTTAGCTGGAAAAATGACCATCTGCCAACTTTTTACAGTATTTGCTTGTTTTTGACGTTCAGGATACAGCACATGCATTGTATAAACTGTTGATTCAGCAAGACTAACAGAAAAAGACAAGGAACTACTGAAGAGCTTAGTAACTACTGCTTCTGTACGTAGTGTTTAATCTTCCAAGCACATCTAATGTCTGTTGGTTTCTAATTGACATTTGTAGGCTGCTCTGTGACTGAAGACTTTTCAAACCAGCTTTACACCCTTCAGGAGAAAACCCCTGATGTGATTATACATTTACTGTCTGCCAGAGAATTGGCATGCAAAATGTTGAAGCTACAGCTATTTTATGATAATGCACTTCCCTCGATCTGGTTCTTTTACCCGCATCACTGTTTACCTTATTGTTTTATAGCCATACTTATGATGTGCTTGTTGGTTACACAAATCAGCTTCTTTGAAGTCCAAAGATAGTCTTTAGGTACATTTTATATCAAATTAAAAGACAAAAATTGTGCTTTCATAGTTGCTACAAAGATAAATAATGGAGAGATTTGGTGCAAAATAACAAAAGGCAAAATACACACACACACACACACACACACAGATCTAATAAAATCACCTGAGGAGTGTAATGTTTGTTTATTTTTTTGTGTATATCTTTGCAATCTATTTTATATATATTGACAAAAGAGACTGTGAACTATTTAGCCATGCAGAATATGTGACCAGACCAGAGCATGTGTTGGAAGATGTTTTGGTAATCATTAACTGTTCCCTGAAGTGATGGACTACAAATTGTAATGTGTTATCTCCGCTTCAGTCAGTAATACTAGAAAATACCCAAATGTTAGCAATGTAGATTGTTTCCCTTGTACATTCTTTATTGATGATATTACAGTGCTGTACCTGGCAGTCCTTTTTAAACAAAACATTATTTGCAAAACAGAGGGTATTATTTGTTTTTAAGGCTTTTGTAAATAAAGGCTTCAGAAGTGTTTTCGTATATGTTTGATGACTGACTGTTTTGAAGTACTTACTTGGGAGAATGTGAAATACTTGAACTGTTTTCTTTGGGCAGCAGGACTCCGTATCTGTCCTACGCCCTTTAGCTATAGGTGGGCTTTTTTGTTTTTGTTTTTGTTTTTTTTTTCAAAAGATTGGTCTTTTGTTGTTGTTGATGTTGTAAGTTGCAGAAAGGCCAGCTGGTCCTTAGGCTACTGCACTCCAGCATGGGATCTTCCCATAAGACAAAGCTTTTGACCCGACTGGAGGGTGATTCGTCTTTTACCTGAAAAATCACTCTGAACCTTTTGCATTTCAACAGTGTTGTCTTTTTCTTGACTTTTATGAGTACCTCAGCTGGATAAGTAAGAATCTCTCGGTGTGATGGCTCACATCTGTAATCCTAGCAGTCAGGGGTAGAAGTAGAATTGTGAGTTCAGCAGTAGAACCTGGAACCCTGGGTTCTATGCCCCGCACCTCCATGAAAGAAAAGGGACTCTTCTTTTGACTTTTCTAAGACTTAGAAACTATATTTGGTATAACTTACTGTGGCTAACAACGGTCCTTAACTCCAGTTCCAGGGGATCTGACACACTTCTGACCTTTGAGGGCATTGCACATGGGTGCACTTAGATACATGCAGGCAATACACTCATAAAACATAAAAATAAAAAATTTTAAATGTAAAATGGAATATCTCATTATGGTATAATTTCATGAAAATTAAAAATGAAAACGAGCCTGCAACCCAAGTATCTTTACAAGTAGTTTATTAGCCAAGCAAAGGAGATGGGTTACTGTGATCAGTTAGGTCATATTTGAATGTTTCAGTTCAAGTGAAAGTGTCCAGAGAAACCCAGACTGTTGGACAACAGTTGCTTAAAAAGTAGATATTGGAGCAACATCAAATGATTTTGAGTGTTGTTCCTTGGTATTTAATGAGTCATGTTACCAGTGCTCCCCAGTCTTAATTTTTGAGAAAGCAACATTTTGAAGAAACTTAAGAATTTATGTTGATTATTTGGAACAACTGTGGATGAGACTATTTTGAAAGATGTTCAAAACCACCGTCCATATAACCCGAAGTGAAATCTACTAGATGTACAACTAATGGTCGTTAAGATATGCTGAAAATGGCTTAGTGGGCAAATATATAAAGTTTGTGGAAATATGAGGTGTTTCAAACATACAGATAGCCATTTTATTCATCAGTGGATACTTTGCAGAAACTTCTGGTGTTAAGGAACTGTAGTGTCAATAAGTAATTTCATCTACTCTTGTGGACTTAACCATCAGTTCCATGAAGTTTTGAGACAAGCAAAAAATTCTTTGTTTCCTAAGTCTTGCCATGTAGCCCTGACCTTGAACTCTGTGTAGACCAGACTTGCCTTGAACTTAGAGGGATCCTCCAAGTGTTGGGTTCCAGGCAAGTACTACATCTAGCTTGAGACAAGCAGAAAATTCTAATTTGACTTACCACATAGCGTTTAGTGGTAAGTTACTGTAGTTTGTTTTGTTTTTTGAGACAGTCTCTGTAGCCCCAGCTGGTCTGGAACTCACTATGTAGACCAGGCTAGCCTCCATCTCACAAGAATCTGCCTTGCTCTGCCTCCTGAGTGCTGGGATTAAAGGCTTGTGCCACCACACCCAGGTGGCAGTGCATTTCTAGTCTTTAGTCTTTGCCTGATGAGCCTAACGTTTTCCTCTTTCATGGCTTCAGTTCTCTACTTTTTATTTTGATGCAAGTGCAATGAAAATTATTTTAAATCCATTTCATTGCAATTGAAGAACTTTTTATTTTTTATTTTTGTCTTTTTGAAACAGGGTCTCCCTGTAGCCCTAGATGGCCTGGAATTTGCTATGTAGACCATGCTGGCCTTGATATCACAAAGATCCACCTGCCTCTGCCTCCTGAGTGCTGGGATTAAAGGCGTGTGCAACCACATCCAGCTTAATTTTGTAACTTATTAAATTTGTCTTTGGATAATTTCATACATGTATATATTGCATTTTGAATACTTTAGCCTCTTACCCTCTATCTCCCTCCCACTCTATTGACCTCCTCCTCCTCCCTACAAGTCCCTTTCTCATATTCATATCTTGTTTTGTTTTGTGAACCACTGAGTTTAACCATCTGTGTGGCTGTGGATTTGGAACTATCCATTGGAGCCTGATAGGCTCACCAGTGGGTACACAAGTGAAGAGAATGTCTGCCGTACCTTAGAATCTATCCATAGCAATAGTTCAACCGGGAGGAATAGTGCCCTGTAAACAGCTTCCTGATCCAGGATTGGTTGTTGACAGGCCCAGTCCAGGCAGTGGCAGTTGCTGTGAGATCATGATTGGTATGGCCATGAATGCCATGCCCAGAAGACAGCATTCCACAGCCCTCCTTCCTCTCTTCCAGCTCTGATCTGCTCCCTCTTTTGCAGTGTTCCCCAAGCCTTAGAGAAATCAGTATAAATGTCCTGTTTAGGTCTGGGCACACCTGGTTATCAAAGAGCTTAATCTGTTGGAAATAGTATACATGATATGGCATGCTAAAAGGGAAATACCAGGGAATGATGAAGGAGGTCCCATGGATGCCTTTAAAAATGAATATGCATAGGAAAAACCATGCTTACATGTTTGGCATGCCTGATTTGTGAAAAGAAAATTCCAGACATTGATAACACCAACTCATGCCTAAATTGAAAAAATTTTATTTCCCCTCATTCTATTTTTATAAAATATTTTGAATTTTTCATTTTTTCATTTTTATTTTTAGAGATTTTATGGGTGTCGGCATGTGTGTCTGTGTGTGACTGTATGAGTGTATGTTTACATGTGTGGGGGCACCTGTGGGGGCCAGAAGAGGGTATCAAATCTCTCAAAGATGGAGTTACAGGCATTTGTGAGCCACTTAATATGGTGCTGGGATCCAAGCTCCAGGCCTCATGATTGGGCAGCATGTGCTTGAGCCATCTCTCCAGCCCTAAAATAGTTTTTAATAATTCTTTGAAAAATTTTGTCCTTATGTAAGCGCCAGAGTGACGTCTTTAGTTTTATCTTGTAGCTTACAGAGCCTCAAATATATACCATCTGGCCTTTTTCAAAAAAGGTTTGTATATCCCTTTACTAGAGAAAACACAGGGGTCTCTCTGTCCTGGCCATTTCATCTTCAGTACAATGGTCCCTTGGAAGCAAACGTCTGGTGTGGAATCCAATTATAAGTAGAAAAATAAACACCATACTTCCATTGGCTATGCCAGAATTCATAATTTATTAAGCTGGAAGGGCTAGAAAAAAATTGATTAAATAATTTCTCCTGAATGTAGGTAGTTTGTATTTTACTATTTATGTGTCACAGTACAATTTACCTGGGAGTGTTGTTTGCTTACAACAATGTCGCCTTTTATTTTTCTGTTCAGATGCTACAGAAATGTAGGAGTTTATTCAAGCCATTCAGGCTTTAAATTTTATTTTAGATTAGAAATTAGCTTAAATGTTAATAAGAGGGCTTTCATATACACACCCTCACTGAGTTTCCCTTAGTTCTGGTTTGTAGTATGTAGTTTTCTATAGTGTTAGCTACTCATTATATTAAGATATAGTATAAAGGCAAAGAATAAGTTTTCTCTTGTAGAAACGTTTCATTGTCATGGCTTGTAGCTGATAAGCCATGGTGTCTTTCTCCAGAATTCCTCTTTATTATGTTTGTGAAGACACCAGTCCTTACTGTCCTTCCTGGCTATCTTTGTCTCAGGAGGAAATTCATTGTTTTCACATAACTGTTGTGCCCCCTTTCTCTCAAAAGACAGGTATCCTTTTCCAGTACTACATCAGGAAATTGAAGCGCCTTTAATTTCAGACTGAATATCTTCATTTGGTTTCCAATTTAAGAAGTTCTAGGGCTTAGCTGTTAAAAGGCTCAAGCTTGCAACCTAAACATCAAGATGTTCCAATTTGAAGAACCCAGGGACCCTTAGTATTTTACATCACAGTTAACAAGTCATAGGTCCTAAGTGGTTTGGAGGAGGACTTATTTCACTAGCGGTATTTGTTTTGACTTGAAATACTGTCATTATTCAGCAGCTGTCCTATATCACTGGCACACATGTACAAAAAGGGTAAATATTCTTGTGCTCTGTGTGTAAGCCTTGTTGATTCTTTATAGCCATTTGGGGCTCATCCATAACCTCTACTGCTTGCCCAAGTATATTCATGTAAAGCACATGAACACATGTACATGTTTATTCCAAGATTTCATTTTTAAATTTTTTTGATTTTATGTCTATGTGTGTATTGCCTGCATGGTGCACCCATATCATGCAATGCCCACGGAGGAAGGCGTCAGAGCCCCTGGAACTGGAGTTAAGGATGGTAGTTGGTCAACATATGGGTGCTGGGAATTGAACTTGGATCTTCTGGTAGAGCAGCCAATGCTGTTAACTGCTGAGCTGTGTCTCTGGTCCCCCAAGATTAGTTTTTTTAAAATATTCAACTTTCACACAAATGGTTATTAGATGAGTTAATATACTTTTAAGATTAAGATACTTCAGAGAGCCATTCATACTGGTCAGAATAAAAAAAAAAGACATTCAATCAAAACTCTTGACTTTGATAGCCTTGCATTGATAACAATAAAAGTCATCAGGAATCTGGGTGTGGTGGCACACACCTTTAATCTCAGCACTGGGAAGGCAGAGGCAAGTGGATCTCTGTGAGCAAGATATAGGCCAGCTTAGACTACAGGGAGACCCTGTCTCAACAGGGTCTGGAGAGATGGCTCAACAGTTAAGAGCACTGACTGCTCTTGAAGAGGACCTGGGTTTGATTCCCAGCACACACATGGCAGCTAAGAACCATCCCTAACTCCAGATCCAGAGGATCTGATGCAGTCTTCTGACCTCCGTGGGCAGTTCACAGCATTGCAGGACACGGGTACACTTACATACATGCAGACAATATACTCATTACACATGAAATAAAAATAATAAATATATTTTTTAAAAAGCAACAAAAAAGTCATCAAGAACTGCAGCTTTCTGGGGTTGAGATCAGTTCTTTAACTCAGTCTCAGCATAATCCTACTTTAGAGCATTTTCTCAATTTGAATAAGCACCTTTATATTTCAAACATTGTTACCTATTAATAAATTTCTCTTGTGTGAGACTTTTCCTGAAGAGACACAACACACTCATCTCTTCACCCCAGAAAGGGAGCCCACAACAGACCAAGTATGGATGAAAGGCTAATAGAGGAGCAAAATTACTCCAAGGCATCTACATCATTGAAAAGTCCACTCCAACAGAGGTGAAGTATCTGGAAAGCTCTTCCCTGGAGCTCCCTGCAGAACTTGTTTAATGCTTCTATAAGCTGGGGAGGGACTCTTCAAGAATCCTGCAAGTTTCAGCTTTCCCAGACGGGATGTTTTGTTCATCTCCTCAGTCTCATGACCTTCCCTTGTCCCTCCTGGAGGGAATGTTTCAATTCAGGAAACAGCTGTACAATTGTTTACAGTAGTAAGTTCCTTACACTATTATGCCTTCTGTGTGAGGCAATAGAAATCATAGTTCATTTTCATAAATCATGAACTAGTATGATCCTTTTTGATCAATGGAGGACTCATATAGCCCAAGCCTGAGCTTAAAATCCCTTACTAAAACTTCTTTTTGGTTATATATTACTAGTAGAAACAAGCCACTAGAAGTAAATCAAATCAGAAGATAGTCTTAGACAATTTCCTCACATTGCAGTCCAGAAATACTAATGCCAGCTATGGAGAAGAACATCAAAGATCTGTGAACAACTAGCATTTAAAAAAAAATTTTTTTAATGACCTTTTGTGCATTTCATACAACAG